ATATCCATATTCGATATCCACTAAAATTTCGAAGGTCTTTAATTAAGTTTTTTCAACAATTTACACAAGACTTTTGATTTTTCATCTGAAACGTTGTTCTCATCATATAAATGTTTATGAAACTATATGATTATGATGAACAATTTAAAACGCATTTTCAATAAGGAACATATAAACAAAGTCTTCAATTTATAATAAAACAGTGGTTTTTTTAGTGAACATATACTTATTCTTTAATTTCTTTAGAACCATTGCGATACAAGAGAGAACATAGAAAGAAAAGAGTACATAAGAATATTTGTAATGGGTAAAAGTGATGCTTTCGCCGTCGAAAACAGTGGCAAAAGTACGTACTTGGAGGAGTTATTGCATTAGTATTTCCTATTGCTATTTTATGCTTTCTAAGCTTTCTACAAAAAAAAATCAGAAGAAATGTTTACCCTTTAAATAAAATTATTATAAAAAATATTTTTTGAGTATTCTTTTCTATTATTATTCTATTAACTTGAATCGGAGCACGCCCTGTGGAGGATCCATATATGTTAGGACAAATTTTAACAATTATATATTTTCATACTACCCTATTAATATTTTAATTAATGAAATATGAGATAATTTAATCTTTGCTAAATAAATTAGTTAATGCACTTGTATAAGTGTATATTTTGAAAATATAAAAAAGAATAAAATGTCTATTAATTTGTACTAAAAAAAAATTCCTAAATAATTAAAACTAAAATCCCCATAATCACACCTAAATAAATTATTAATAAATTTAAGGAAACAGGTAAATAACTTTTCCAGTGCGTGGAAATTGTACCTGCCTACTTTATCTTTATTATACCTTTGGTGTTTAGTATTAGGACGCTCACTAGTGCGTTAATAACCGTATCAAAATTAAATTAATTTATATTTTGTTCACATCAGTTAAACTCTTTAGTTTTGTTGATATCAGAAATTGGAAAAGCGTTTGAAATGTTTATCATTTTCAGGGACTGCATTTCAAATAAACTTTTTCCAAATATTCTTTGTTTACAGCGGTTGTTATTAAAAAGTGGGTAGTAGGTATTCAACTAGAAATGTTTGTGTAAACATGGTTTCAGTCTGCTTGGCAGATCATTTAGATGATGATGATGCCCAATCAAAACACATTATAAACCGATATATAAATAGAATGAAAAAAGTATTGACGAATTATTATTAACAACTTGTAATAATTTTTGTCACTTGTGGTTTTCTTCTACTTTCCAAATTCATGCAAAATGGTTGCCAAAGATTTATGCAACGTTTAGAGGTGCAACAAGAAGTAATCTTAACAGCTCAATGGATTCGTGGCACTGAAATACAAGGTGACTGCAGAAAATCGCCAGAGGAACGATATTCCGCGGAACAATAGGTACAATATTTCTATCTATTATCCCATTCTATTTGTACTCCCATCCCAAAATCAATCTAAATTGACCATTTAGATTGATTTTGGGATACGATGGAATACGCATTAATCGCATTTATGAAACTCATATAAATTCATTTGAAGGGGGGATTTGCATTCCGTTTTTGGCATTCATCTTCTTCTGGTCTAGATGTTTTCGTTGATTAGTTAAAAACAATAGCTTTTATCCATTTTTGAAAACGATGTAAATTTTAGTTTTAATTTTTACTCAGCTAGCGCCTAGTTAAATGGTACTTTCTARCAAAATTTCKTTATWACTTCACCATATTCAATTAATAAAATTCGCTCAGTTTTTSGAYTTCTTTCWCAACTTTGTTCTAATTTMATTAACATATTCAAATTTGTTATGCATGTTTTATGGGTTAARAACAAATCGGGTATTRTTTTTCTTAKGCGWGTCCTGMGGTACACGCTCATCAAWCCAACTTTCRTTTTAAACAAATTTTCTTTGAATATAATAAAAAGATTAACAAATTCTCATCAATGTGTGATTACGAACTACWTGCAAWTMAACTGGAAATGTATTAAAATAGCAATTTTCCAATTTAAGTGTGTTCTTCTCTCGACAGTGGATGTGAATATTTTCCTATTCCATATGGATGACATCATAAAAGACAAATACATATATAGTTTTTCTTCTAGAGTCCAAATAGTAAAAACTGACTAAATTCAAAGCTGTAACATGTTAATTTAATTATTATACTCTGGGCTCACAATGTGAAAAAGAAATATGTTTCTATGAAAATGTAAATCCTTAGACTTAAAAAACCTGGCCTGTGCAAACAAGTTTATTTCAATCAAATCACTTTTATGGTTAGTTGTATTAACAGTGTTAATACATTACTGATGTCTTTCAATTAAGATGTGTAATTTACAAAAGTGTTTTTTGCGACAAAAACACTACATTAACGTATTATTGTTTGAAGTCATCAAAGTCCAAACTCGTACGCACACCATTGCAAAAATTTAAAATCAGATTTGTATGCTAAACTATTGTGCCCACTAAGTGAAAATATTGTGCCCACTAAGTGAATAGTTCTAAATTGCTTCAATAAAATATAAAATTATCAAATTGCAAAGGGGAGCAAAAGGATTAATTGCCCTTACATTAAATTTTATTCAATTCGCTATGGAGTCTCATTCAATCTTTTGGCGATTCATTCATCATATACCTGTATAATCATGCCAGTTCTTATGTGGCCTCAGCTGTAATAAATTAAACCTACTTACAGATGGTTCATAATAAAAATATATCCCAGCAATTGATCTTTATGTTTATTGGGATTGTCCAAACTATTTGTAAATTGTTTTTCGATGTGATTTATTTGAAGGCTCTAATCGACTTTATGCATTGCCATTTATTACTATTGATAAATATTTGTTTTCACAAGTCTTGTTTTTAAAAATATTCTGTTAATGTAAGTGTCTGTTCAAATTGATTTAGTAGGTATAGGGACTGTAAAACAAACCATTCGGCGTGCGTGATATCTAAGTTAAGAGTTGAATTTATTTATGAATTGTGATTTAGCGCTTTGCTATTTTCATCTATTTATGTTAGGTATCTTTGCCATATTTTATTACATTACTGTAACACATGCGAGGTACTTTTGTTTGATGAAACAAAATTACGTCTCCTAATCCATGTTACTGTGGGTGTAAGAAGTTAGTAAAACACCTCCTAATCTAGAAATTATTTTATAGTGTTATTTTAAAACTTGTCTGAATTTGATGATTTCTGCTTATTTTCTGTGATATCAAGTTCTAACGATATATCTGATAAATAACCTCCTGTATCAAAATCCACTTTATATGGTGTTACGAACCGAACTGCAATATATTTTGATTAATAGGTAGTCATCAGTACCATTTTTTTAACTTTTCGGGTTTCCAAATATATTATACAATACAGGTGTCACGTAAATCTTCAACAATTCCCTGATGAAACGTTATATTATATCAATGAAAATGACATTATCAATTAAATAGCATTATGAATGAAAATATAACGGTTTCCAAGATATATTTTTTATATATGTGTCTACCGAAACTGACAACACTTGATATCCGAGTTATTCTTCTATGCGATTTTTTTTCTTTTGTATGTTAGTTTTGGCAATGGTCGTAGTTCAAAAGCCCAGCAAAAATTTTTCAATGTATGCTCCAGATTTAACAAAAAAGTCTATTCTATTTATTACATTATAACTTCGTTCCATTGTATACCTTTGGCTTCCCACTATAGCAAAGATGGATTGGTATCTTGCTGCCCCTAAGCATCAAACATTATTTATTTAAAATCTGAAATGGTGTAACAACTATTAAGTAGTTTAATTAACTGAAACCAGAGAAATTTTTCCACTATATTATAATACCGTGCCGTCGCCATTCATTGAGTGGAATCGACACATTGCAAATTTAGATTTTGCCATTTTATGGTGCTTTTTTTACGCCTATGAGCATCAACAACAATCAATCTTTTACTACAGTAGAGAGCAAAAATTGATAATAGAAGAGCTCAATAATCAAGTGAATTATGGGACGTCCTGTCCTGCATACTTAAACTTATGGCTGAAATCATGCTTTCTTTAATCATACTTAATTTTTGCTTCGTGAATTTCGGTTATTTTTTGTCTTTGGGAAATAGGAATACGTTATCTGGTATTTTATGCAAAAGAAATATATATATTATTTCTAATTTGCAAAACGCTTGTAATGTTACCTCAGTGAATTACTGACGACCTTTAATAATTATCTTTAATCTTCTAAATATTGTGGCGTGTTCTGTTGATAGAAACTGATTAGACTTCGGATCTATTGAATGGTATTCATATATATGAGTCCGGTACTACATGGCTTATAGCTAAGAATTTCTAAATATACGATGTTACGAGCAGAGAAAATCTAGAAATAATTTGAATAATATGTAAGCAACTTGTTATGTTATTCATATCTTTCCTGGGTCTCAGTCAAAGTGTTAAGTAAAAATTTTGAACCATCGTCTATTTCATTACGTTTCGTCGAGACAACAGCGCCATCATTAGATTTAAAATTCACACACACTACAAACACCAATTCACATAACAGGCATTCCACTAGGTCTCTGGGTCACGTCTAATAAATTCAAACAAGCTTTTCACGATCTCTTCAACGGCAAATATTTAGGAAAAAGAGCCAATAAGCATTCTCAGTACAAACCTAACGACATCCTCTGGACATCCAAGGCACATTTAAAAATCACTTTGCGACCTAAATGTCCCATTTAAATGTAGCTCGGCCACTTCAGATTTCCCATCGTTCGGTTTCGCTTTACGTGCAGAAACGGAGATAGAATATAAATTCGAACTGATTTTTAGAGGCCCCTGAGATCCGACGAAAGAGAACAAGATCTTTGCTAATATGGTGTAGACGTATCTTTGAAGTTGAGGGCTTTCATCCAATAATCCTGGCAAATAAGGTGCCAAATACAATTAGGCCTTATTTATCATTAGATGTAAGTAAGATAATCCGCACATTTATATATATATATATATATGTCTTGTAAATTGTGCTGATGTAACGAGCCGATGTTCCTATGAAATGAAACGTTCAAAAATACAATAAGATACGTAATATAGCGTGGTTAAACGAAAATGATATAAGCCGAATCAACAAAAATGATCGAATATGCAACTGTTTCAGAACCGCCAAAGTAAATAATTTTAGTTGTAAAGCACTTATAAATCATATACTGTGTGAAAGTATGTAGTTACGACTATTTACATATTTGCGTTGGCTCTAAAATATATAATTATTCTCATCTGATATAAGACTTCAATTTGAAGTTTCTTGAAATTTTTTTTAGGTATACCTGTTACATGTGTTGGCTTATAATTGCCAAATTTACGACTGATTATTTGCAAATTCTGTATCTTTCAGAATTTTTTTTTCTATTTTGCTGTATTGATTATAACGCATTTATTTTTAATAATTAATTATAATAAATAATAATTTTTAATAATTAATACTGCATTATGATCTACATTTCACAACGTGCTTCCTTGGAATACGATTATCTTCGATGTAACACACAACACTACAAACTTCAATTTTATAGTTTATTTTAAACGACACATTAATGTTATTAATATGAATTCTAACACATATTCTAACAGTTAATAAAGAGGTTCTAAAACTAAGCTGAATATAATTCCTCAGTCCTCGTCTTCTGAATCGTCCGAGTCGGACTTTATTATACCTAAAGTTTTAGCAATGCTCTTTACATTGGAAATTACCTCTTCTTGAACCAGATTAAAACTCATTGCCAGTAGAGAAATTCCAAACAGGAGATAAAGGGAGCAGAGGGCAATACTTATTGTTGCATAATCCCTAGAAGCGCAATAAATTAACAAAATAATTAATTCACACTCAACATAACCATGCTATCTATAGTATGTACTGTTCAGATATTTGAGAAATTTATATTTTAGAGCAAAAGAGATAATAAATATAACAAAATACAAAATAATACAAGCAAGAGCTTTCAAGCCAGCAATGGCACGTACAAATAAAATCCTAACAGTTTAGATGACTTCTTCCAAAGACAGCATAACATGTTCCTTTGATTGGATAAGAATTCAGTAGAAACTCATTTTAATGGTTCCAAAATTGGTCCCAAAATTGGGAAATTTACCAAAAGAAAAAAGTTTAAATTGCAAATTACTTATTGCGGTGAACAGCAAATTACATAATCAACTATTACTCTTTCCAAGCTTGAAGTGCTTAAATATCATCTTTATTGATAAGGGATTAGTTAATTCTCAAATTTATATCGGAGCGACTTGTCTTTTATCGTAATCAGTTCTGGTCAAGTAAAGCAGACAAACACAGTAAAGACACAAAAATTGGTCATGATCTTGAGTAAAGTTTTGTTGATGAAACATTTATAAAAGTGAATATCAAGCAAATTTTTGTTTTTAATTTATCTGTACCTGGAACAGATTTTATATTTTAATATGAAATGAAAGCAAGAGTACCCATCTCTTGTTTTTATGCAGTATATTCGGAATAATCTGCATCTTTACCTGTCTTGGCTGACGCCTTTTGCAGGAACTAAGTCTCCAAAGCCGATCGTAGTTAAAGTGATAAAACAAAAGTATGCTGCGTCCAAATAATCCCATCCTTCCCATGATTTAAACAAATACGCTCCAGCTATAATAAGCATCAACAAATGTAAGACCCATTTTATTACAAGTGTTATTTATTACCTAAAATATAACTAATAACCAACAGAACACACAACCAAATTGGCACTGGTTTTGGCTTCTCTCTGCCGCTGCTCTCATAATATGAATTAAACTCGTCCATTTCATCCGAATCCGGATCGTCTAGGTACTTGTTTCGTTGGCCATAGCCTAGAGGAGTCATCATTCTTGGACTGGAGTTGGCTGCGATCAAAAATTGCATTTCATCAAAATTACAATTATTAGTTAAACATAGCCAATTCATCATATGTAAAAATATGTCATTGTTCCTTCGACAAAACGGGCGCCATTGCACCTAAATGTACATAAGTATTTACAGTATATTTTTTACGAAATTATGCTCAAAAACAATATTGTGATTTTCAGCACACTTACGAAGAGGTGACTTAGGCTGTCGGGGCTTAATCTTTCTTCTACTCCTCAAAGGTTCATCAGTGTCCTCTTTATCAGATGAAGAATCTGGACTGTAGCTTCTGGGAGGTTCGAGAAAATTTGAAGATTTTGGCACTGATAAAGCACGCCTTGCTAAAAGAACGCCAACAAATTAGTTAAATCCAATAACGACATTTATAATCTGCTGTTTACTGCCCATGGTGTTTTTTCTAAACCATGTGATTTTTAATATTATAAAATTGTTTATCAAGTATTTGGGTACAATGCTACCAGGAAATTTGCATATTTAATGTTGCATAAAGATGCATTTTTTCAATTCCTTCTTTAGGTGCTAAGCCAGGTAATGTTAGCAATTAAATCGAGTGAAATTTATTATCGCCGGAAAATGGTGTAACTACTAGGGAAGAAAATCATCTAATGTTACTTGTGATTTATGGTGAGTTGTCTACTCTACAGCTAATTTTGCTAGAACAATATCTTGATTGTTTAAAGAATTGCAACACATAATTATCAGGAAGATTTTAGTTTGATTACTTCACATGGGGCAAAGGCGGTTTACCTGGATTTGAAACTCTAGCATCAACGTTCAGTTTTCTTAAGGTGATACCTAGGAAAACAATAAAGCAAAGAACATTTTATAACCAGCGGTCGGTTATTCGTCACAGTGTCAAGAAGATTTTCTATATTAAGAAGTTAAATTTGCATTGTCCGTTAATTTACTGGCGATATTTTGCTAAAACCTACCTGGAATATTATTGGCAAAAGCATCATGTTTGCCTACTACATATCGATTGCACAAAATCGGAGTGTCTCCTAGAAGCATTGGATCTAGTTCAACTTCACGCTCTTTTTGAACAGCTGCAAACTTTTTTCTATCCAACGAGTCGCTTCTTTGAAAGTTATTGTGTTTCTGGTACGGATGCTTCCTAGCAGGCGTAGCTGGTTCAGAGAAGCGACTTGGTCTATTAGGTAAGCTGGAGCCTCGCGATAATTGCGGTGCTGTTCCAAACTCATCTGGGTATCTTTTGAAATTAAATAGAATTTATTTAGTTGAATTTTCAGCATCCCACTGTATTTCACTATTTGCGTGCGCTACCAAATTACTTCTGTTCATTTGACAGTTGAGTTCAACAACTACGGTTTAGTTTAATTGTTATTTGCTGGTGTCTGTTCCATTGGAGAATTTAGCACATTGATTTTGCATTAGCTGCTTGATACTTGAGGCTAGCATTTTGATTGGAAATTGTTTTAATACTATATTCAACGGACTAACGAAAAAAACCCAGCGCAAAACTCTGGCAAGAAAGACAGCAGCCACCCGATGAACGTCGACGGAATCGGCATCACATTGAGAGAGTTGGACAAACGTATTAACAATATAACGACTGAATAAACAAAAACACGTTCTTGGCTTCATAGATCTGAAACAAGTATTTGACCAAGTACGTCTAGGTTATTTCATAAACGTTTTTAAAAAGGATGACTTTCAAGAAAAGTGCTTTTGGCAGACTAACCAACTAAACAACTACCCATACGCAACACCACAATAAATCAAATTCAAAAAATAAAAAATTTACAGTGGTCTATCAGAAGTACAAATGGCCACAGGCATTAAATAAAATGGTAGCTTCAGAACCACATTATATGTGGGAAAACTTGTGAATAAATGACAGATAATGGATCTTCAAAGTCCAAGACAATATACAACGCTTTCTTCTTAGAATAGATATTGATGATGATAGATGATGATAGATATAAATGAGTTAATCATTTTTACATCTAACTGAAAAATCACAATTAGTGGTCAGATTTAAAGCACCCGGAATATGTAAACCAGTAGTGACCGCACGACAACATTACAACTTGTAAATATATATTTTTTGAATCCCTAAAATATTCAAGTATACAATTCAAATATACAAGTTCCGAAGATGTGGATGAAACCGAAACTCAGCTGCATCAGAAACTAAAGAAGAAACTTTGTAGTCTGGAAATGTAAAGTCTAAGAAGCACCAAAGAAGTTAAGCAAGTGTAAAAATGCTGGACATGCGGGTCTCCAATAAACAACAAGCAGGACTGTTACCGGACTGCGTTAAAGAATTATTGCCCAGATGTGATTAATTTATTTTAGGTTTAACAAAATCTACCATGAAATAAATCGAAGTCCATAAGTATTAAAATTAATGTTTGGTGGTTCATCGTATCTCTAAAAGCGACATTCGATATTCTTAAAAAAAATCCATTATTTGAAATAATGCATTACAAGTACACATATAAGTAGGCATAGTGGTAAATTTTTGTTGAGTTTCATACTGAAAAAATATATTCATACATAAAAAAGTGTGAAATAAATTGTTTTAGTAATGTCTGCTACTATCAGATGAATATACCTAACTCTGTTATTTTAGAATTATATTAATGTGTAACTGTGTATGTTGTGTGTAACTATCAAAACGTTGCTTTGGTAGATTTTCATATTGTAGAAAACGAGTATAATTACTCGTAATAAATACCTTAACTTTTACATATTTTAAATTTTACCTGAGTTCAGTATCAGAATGGTAGTTTGGACCACCATCTGATATGCCATATCCACTATCAGCTGACTTTCCAGAAGCTCTAACCGATCTTCTGAATGACGTTGCTGATCGTGACCGAGTGATCCTCGAACTAAGATCGAAAAAGCAGATTATTTAGGCCCAAAGTGTTTGGTTCTATTGGTTTCACGTAACATCGTTGCTTACTCATTTCTGGACGTAACTCGGAACGATCTTCCTCTTTGCCTTCGCTTCGGCTTCTTTTGACAGACATAGCAACATACCCTCCAGTAAAGAAATCGGAAAGAAGTTGCCATTATATCACCAATGTTGGATAAACATAGCAACATGAGCGGAATACCAAGAATTGCGTAAAAAATGGTCACTACCTTCCCCCAGTTGGTTTTTGGCGTTATATGTCCATATCCTGAAATTTTGATTACGTTTTGAAACAAGTTACGAAAACCGATTGTTTTCATTTTGAAGGATAAGACGACCAAGTACTTATCTCTCATTGTCAATTTCTCTTCAAAAGTTGTAAGTGCTCCTTGTTGCTTTAGAGTGTACAGTAAATAACCAAAAATGCGAAGTTAACCGCATGTGATTTTTTTAGCTGAATTTGCTTGCAATTGCTCTTACGATCTTCTGGAAAATGCAAGCAAAACATGGTGTCCAAAAGAAATGCTCGAGAAGATTATGCTAATACAAAAATGAGAATGTTCCCGCAAACATTTGTAGAGTTCAGAGTCAGAGTGTTTCAAGTTCAAGCGCTAATAAGTAGGACAAAGGTAAACAACAACGTAAACCGCCAACACTTTTTCGGATCGGCTAATTATGGGATCAGTTTATTTATTATAAAATTTGAAAATAATCTAAATCATAACTGATGGGTATAAAACTTTAAATAAACACAACCTTTCGTTATCATGCAGTGGAAGTCATTCGTTGTATTACATAAAAAACAAAAGTTGCACTTTTCAACAAAAGAGTATGCAGTTATAAACAGAGATAGAAGTAAACTAATTGCGTTATTTATAACTAACTAAATCATTATTATAACGCGAAATAGTTATTGCTGTTTGACTACTATCCACCAATATCTTGGAGAGCTGACGGGTTAAATGCTGAAATAATTGATGTTAGACACCAAATGCGATTTTAACAGTGGAACTAAAAACGCAACAAAGTGCATAATGTAATACGCGTCTACATCTCTGTATTAATAGAGACACAACATTGTGAAGAAAAGGACAAATAGCAAATTACATTCGTACTTGTCTTGATTCTTCAGAAATCCCAGTTTCCTGACATTGCTCCCATATACCTGCTAACCTTGTCTATTATGCTTCGTTTGTGTAGGTGCATGCTTTACATAATAATTAGGCTAGTAGTAAGAAATGAGACGTATTAAGTTTACAGGTCAAGGAATTGACTTAAGATTTGCAACACTTCAATAAACTATTAATAAATAACTTGGTTCAATTGGAAGCATTAATTAGTTTTATAATCGTTTTTCGCAGAAATTTGTCAATCTTTGTGATAGATCCGCTAAAAAGCGATTAATTGCTAGTGATCATCGGTAGTTGATTTCAGAATACAGACACAAATTGTGACTTTGAGAAAAATATATTTGAACACGATTAAAATAAAGAGGTTCTTCTTTTTTCAACATTTGTCTAATTTTGCATGCTTTTTGTGACTTCCTATAAGAAAGATTTATTTGGCATTTGTAGCTGGATAATTCACAGTTTTGATGCTTCGCGTTTTAAATTTTCAGAAGTAGTGAACTGAAATATAGATAGTTACAACGATTACTCATATATGCACTTGTGTTGTCGATATCACTCTCTTAACAACGGATGATTCTTCTTATATTGTAAGAAAATTAAGATTATTATCACTTAGAGCATGCTATAAATTGATGATGAGTTAAAAATACAACATACTTTACCCGAAGCTTCAACTAGATTATTCAAGTGAATAGATCTGATTGCAGGCAATGTGTATGAAGCCTTATAATAGAATGTAAGTAGTTATCCTTGCAAGGTCTAATAAATGTGAAAACTTCTCAAACATATGAGGAATAAGTTGTATTAGACAAACAATTTTCTTTGACGAAAACCATCAAAAGTTACTCGTATAGTAAGACTTGGTAATGTTGAGGCACCTTAACTATGAATATTTAATCTGAATGATCAAGTGTTAATCGTGCTCCTCCTGATTGGAAACAAAATTAAAGTGTGACGATAATAATCGATTATCTAACGAAGTCTATCTAGAACAGATGAACAATAGTGAAATTTATATTACGTCGAGAAAATTTTTGATAATATAGGTATGAAAAAAATATTTACAAACCATTTAAGCAGTGCAGCTGAAGAGACTTAGAAGAACTCGCCACGTTCCTCTGTTGAAAAGGTGGACTAATTTATAACTCAAAAATGTATGCATAACTGATTTTACATCATTATAATATAAAGATTTATCAACGGCGCGTGCATTGGAATATGCTTTATTGGGACAGTAAAGGCCAATTATTTCGTATTTTCTATTTTTTTTGAAAAAATGTTATTTTTAATTCCTTGTAAGGTGAAACTTATTTAGATTTGTTTTATACACGTATCAAAGTAATTATGCCGCTTGAAAACAAGTTTGTCAGATGGACCTTTTTCCTTGTAGAAAGGCTTGGTTTTTGTGACTCTAACATATTGTGCCTTGGCATTTACTCATTAATTTATTTTATGTTTAATAGGTAAACCGATTCACACGAATCAGAAAAATACATAACCAAACTGACTTGAATAATGCAGGAAAAACTGGAAAAATGTTTTCCTTTATTTCTTGAACATATTAGCAGTTGAAAATGCTAGTCCAGTATTTTTATTTAACGCTAATTCAAGATTCAATTGTAAGATTAAAAGTTCCATTAAGACTAACACTACCAATATTTCTTCAATTTGCCTTCCCGCTCCTTTTCCTAGTTTATTTTTAATTCTACGATATTGTCAATAAACTTTTTGATTGATTTTCGCAATATAATGCAAATAATTTTCGAATGATCAACGAAAGCCTGAGAAGCCGGGAATTTACCTTAAAACCCATAAACCCCAAATTTTGATCAACTTTACAACACTTTGAACAAAATATTTTCATACCATGCATTTTTTGCCCTTATTATGCTGAATCTCTTATTTCCTTTTGCTAATTCAAAGTCATCCCAGGCCCACTTTAATTGCATGTTCGGCATTATGGGACAAATTTACCACAAAATTAGTTCCATAGCGACGGTAGTTTCACCCCAACACAATGTATATTGCACGCTGAAAAACTGTTTTTGTTATGAAAATTACCCTTCGACATGGTAAAATATGAGCAAAGCCCAAAAGACCAAAGACCATTTGTTTCCACTAAGAAAAGTGTATTCTAGGTTAAAAACATTAACCGTCCATATTGTAGGTACTCATGTTCAGCTAAAATTGTCCCAAAAAGCCAAATATGAAACATAACTGAAATGTTTTAAAGTATTTTCTGGGTGTATTAATAATGTTAAAATTAACGTGTTTAAAACATTCGTAATTTTCGCGAATTTATGTCGCTAGCTTTAACCGAGCTACATTTTTACAAGCTGATCAAAAATTATGTTTCTCAGAAGGTTCGATTGAGACTGAACAGCCCTTGCCCAAAATTGCACCAGTTTACGTATTAGTTAATATTCCCAATCCTCAATTATGCCCTAAATAGATGAGACATGGTGATTGTTAGGTTTAGGTAAAAGTTACAAATCGGGGTGGAATAGAATTCAAATTTTAAGGATTCCAATTCAAATTTCGAAAATAATTTATACGCTTCATGGGAGTGTGAAAATATTCCCTCCATACGTTTACTTCTCGTAATTTCCTTTTACTGCTTGTCTAAAAAATAATTTGATAACATCTAAAATTCGTACTATTCAAGCAAGATTCAAATGTTTCCATCTTGCTTGCAGAAAAAGTTTAACTCGCATATCTTACACATTTCAAGTTAATTGAATTTGAATGGCATATATATGGGAGTTGCATATACATGATGATGATAGAAAATTGACGTCGTTTGCATAAGACGGTTTTAAGAAAGTGCCAGACAGATACAAAACAATTGTTCCGTAAACTGAGATATTCAAAAAAAAATTATAATTAATTGGAAAACTTGCCACAGTATTTCTCTCGCACATGTTTATATATAATTGTTATGCAAATCACAATTAATGTTGCTGTTGTTATTATTATTATGTCAAGAAAAATATCTATTAATTGGCCAGACATAAAAATTAAGGTGGGTGAATAAAGATAAAGAAATAATGGAGTGAATAGCTGGGATTCACATGAGCTAATTGAGCTTCAGCAACAGACCGCTACGAAACGTTATATTTCTTAATAACACCACTAAGGCGTCTATTTTTACAACCAATGTGCATGCAACATGCTGTGATAAGGAGATATTCCGTGACTATATTGAAAGTTTAGTAGAATTATTGGAGAAAATATGAACGCTTTAAACTCGATTTTAGACGAGAAGAATGAATCGATTGCTGGCTTTTTGGTGATGCAGAACTGGTACTACAAACTGTACTTTCAGAGGACATGGGGACTTGAAAATTTCAGATGTCCACTGAAATCAACTAGAAGATTTGATTATTAATTATATAACTCCTCGACCAAGAAACGATAAACTGAACGTTCACTCTTAACTCGGACGTTCCAAACTTATATATTATTATATTTTAATTACATTTATCAGGCTGTGAACTCAATTTAATTTAAAATTGATAGCACAAATTTTACCTTCATGCTTGGAAATACAGTCAATATTTATTTTTAATTGAAAGAAAATTGTACTCATTAACTTAACAATTGTATTGAGGAATCCCCTACATACGTTTTCGTTTTCAAAATTTGCAACCATGCACAATATTTCCCAAATCTTTTCGCGTACATTCATTAAATTTCTTTAACGCAAATCATTTATCAAATTAATTTCATTTTCATTAATTTTCATCTATTTGTTATTGGTTCATGTTCTAGTTGCTGCTTGTCGTATTCTCAAAATATCACAATTGTGGTATTGAGGATAAAATACTTTGCTGAATGCAAATATGTTTATAAAAAAGTACAGAAATAAAAGTTGATAAACGGCCTTGTTTTAATGAAGGATACAAAATGCGGAATTAGCTGGATAATGACTATTAAAACGCAGCAAGGTTTCCGTTCTGGGATGCATGGTCAACATCTGTAATAACACAGTATTTCTGACTCCTGAAGAAGTGACTATCATGCAAATAAACAATTTCAGTTAGCATTGCCATTAGCCTTGTCCATCGCGAATAATAAAAACATAATTAGTATCCTTTGGCCTCTGTCTCCTTCGTTTGCATTAATTAAAACCCCAAATATCAATTCATCGCGGCATTTTCCTATTGTGTTAGCTCACTGGACGCCAAAATTTCGCAATATCGGGAAACATGCGAGGTAAAATAAAGTGACCCATTAATCAAAGCCCTAAACGCGATCGTCAATTAGCAACCGAGACAATGGTGGAACAAATTAAAATCGTTTTTTGGGTGATTTGTTCAAACTGGGTCAATGTCAAAGCTGTTAAATACCTGTTGAATATTGAGTAGTTCTTTGCTGTGATACATGAATCGTCAGGTATTCAGATTTTGATTGCAAAATCGTCACTTGCGGATTTTAAGGTCAGTGTCGTATTTCGTTTGAGAATTTTTATTTCGTTATGTACTTCATATAAGAAGAAATTGAGAATATGCAGTAAAAAGTAAATAGAACACAAAGACTTGGCGTTTTTTTGGCTGGACTTCATAATACCCAAAACTCAGTATGGGATAGTAAATCAGCACTTTGATCTGATGCATATATGACTAAAGCATAAATCCGTAGAGAACCAATGCAAATGTTTAACGCTGAGGTAGTGTGCAGCAAAATGCTCGAAATACAAAAAGCTTTGATATCAGACCTATTTTTTAAGTAAAATGGACTCGAATTCTTCTTACAACGTTTTCATTCCTAATAATAGAATACGTAAATAATTCTGGACCAAATCGTTGTTGCTGAAACATTTTCATCTTGAAGGCACAATTAAGTACAAATCTAAAAGGTAAACTCAGCATCTCTATTAAATTGTAAGGTGTCTTTTAGTCCCTAGACCGTAAGCATTTTTTTAAATATTTAATTTCTTAAAATTATTCAAGTTCTTATTCAAACTTATAAATAATGCGGATGAGGATAATATAAGTACTTTATTTATGCATGTTAAGACCTAAAATACTCTGACTGAGATAAGTTTTTTCAGTCTATTCAAAAATGTATCGTAATATCAGATTAATCCGTGGCCCTAATAGTGGAAATGCAATTGAAGCGACAACTTTATTTCAATTTTATGTGCTGCTTTTAAGGTAAAATATACACAATGCTGGCCAGAAAAATATAATTAATTATATCTTTGAAAATACCGGTGAGGTATATGTGAAACCCGATCGTGACCGGACAACATAAAATGAAACTCTAGACAATTTTATTTTGTCAAGTGTACAAGTTATTGAAAAATACTAACATGCCTAGATATATTTTCTAAGCTTTCATTCATATAATAAATTGCAAAAATAGTTGATTTAATGATTTCCGAATCCACAAGTGTTAAAGTTTTTCTACCAACTTTTTTAAAGTTAAATCGCTAACTGATATTTCAAGACACATTTTTCTATGCTGAACAAAATTAATAATGTTTTATTAGTGCCAATTCGATATATCAAATAGGAGAAGTCAATTCGACCACAATCGATTCGATCATCGTCTTGCGCTAGTAAACTTTCCAACAATTATTAAGATATTTATGTGTCAAAATAAAATTAAGCTTTTAATATAATAGAACTTGATGTAAGTATTTAAAAGTAATATCTAATATTTTTAACTTTTTAATTAATTAATTAATTAATTAATTTAATTTTAATTATTTAACTAGTTAAAATTTAGCTGTTTCAACGAAGTTGCTTTTAAAATCCTTAAAAGTTTCACAAGTTGGCCTTTTAGAGAATTTTGGATTTTTTTCAATACTTTATTACAGGTTTTTGAAGCTCCTGCTTTTTAAAAAGCAATTTTGGTGACCAAAGCCGGCTTATAATTATAATGGATTTTTTTCTGCAGTAACGGGTTCACTTTTGAGAACTACTCATAAGGAAGCTATCTTCTTCTGAGCTTAAGGTATAATTTGAAATTTTCAGCGGCTGGCACAATCTGATATTAGATTCTGAAACAGTGAGTTAACAAAAGATTTTACCGTTCAAAAACATAAGTGTAAATACATGTATAAATCCAAATATTTACCTCAAAAATAATCAATTGATCACCAACGATTCAAACCCCATTTGGGTTTTAATCTAAGCACTTTTAATAATTGTGTAGATCAATTTCAAATTTGCCAAAGATGGGAGTTATAAATGGTACATTATAATAAACGTCTGAAAAATGTACAACAATTTAACATGTAATGAATAAAGCCTCGAAAGAGGTATGACAATCTGACTAATCTAAATGTATACACTTTATATCATTACAGAAAACATAAGATTTATTAAATTTACTAACAGATGGCACATTTGGTTTTCCTATACATTACTTCAAATATCTGTAAAATTTGACGCAGTATATATACATCATAATCTGAATATATTAACTAGAGCATCAGTATCAAAGCTATATATTTATGATTGTTATTTGCATTTATTATTGTCCTAGTAGTCGGTTTTTAAACCCAAGGGATTGATGTGGTTCTTAAATACATTATAAAGAATCACTACAACGTAGTTTTATTGATTTATTGCTCACAAACTCGGATTGGACCTTGGAAGTATGGTTCACGATGCAATAATTCATGCAACGCATGTAGATCCATTGAAATATATGATTTAAATTCAAATTAATTTTTTATGTACAGTATTTAATTTTTGTCGCATATTATCTTTTGCAGCAGGTGGTAAATTCCGCTGCTACTTTTTATTCAACACAAAAATATATAGCACTTGCCAAAGAAAATATTCGTCTAACTTCAAAAAAGTAAGTACTGTAGATACAGTTATCACCTTGAATAAAATAGTTACATAGTACATAAAAGTAAAAGCTCACTTTTGATACTTGAAAACTAAAAAGTCACGACCAGTTTAAACTAGGACAAGAAGGTTTTCGCAGATTTGCGTCGGTGGTCGAACCTTATAAATATTTAAGATAATTCTATTTAAAATATAATTGTGTGTCAAGGGCATAAAATAGTTGCTGCATTACAGGGCATTGCAAAAAAATAATACAATTTGAATTGCAACAAACCAAATAGCAATATATACAAAACGTTGTCGGAAAAAGACCTCTGTCATGCTTCAATTCATTGATAATAATTTTCATTGATGTTTGTGAACGTAAATAGTGGGGAACTGTTAAATGGATTTGGTAGTTACCTTCCCCACTAATGTTATATAAGGTGTGTATGCACCTATAAGAGGTGTCAATCATTTGTTACAAAACAGTAACCAGTTAAATAATAACCAGTTCAATCGTTCACTTTGTTATATCGGGCAACTGCAGTGGTTTCGTGCTCTTTAAAGTGGTTCTTTGGATTTTACGTTGAACCATGGCCTATATTTATTGTAAGTTTGCGGTGATTTTTTTGAACCTACTGCAATTAAAATTCCTCGTAAGAGCAAAAATGAAAAGTATCTGAAGAATTCGCCTACAATGTATAATTTTATATTGCATTTTATAAAGTTTTATAGTTAACGAAAATTTCAGAATTTGATGTTCAAAAGCAAATTTGGTTAAGTTTGATTTTTCAACTTAAAATTTGTATATTTGACAAAGCTGCGGTTAGTGTAAAAATGGGCAGCCCTCATTTAAAACGTTTTTGTTGTACGTTGTACTGAATCAATTGTAAATTATTATAATTTAATTAAAACACATTCTTACGGTGAAATATCACATTATATCGTGTACACGGAAAAAATTTCCACATTTCTAAATTCAATATTTCGCTTCTAATATTGTTAAAATTCTGATACTTGTTACTAAAATTATGAAAACCTTAGGGTGAAAATATTAGACGTAATCGAATTAATTATTTTATAGATTATACGGATCCCATAATGTTTAATTGTAATAGAATAAATAATGAATTGATTGAACAACATCAACCATATATTATCAAAATAAATGCAGCATGCGTGTATTACAGCCGCTCTGTAGTTGTTATATTCTCTTCATATCATATACAATAAAATGTAACTTTCTTCTTGCTTCTTGCCACTTTAATAATGTTAGGACGGTTTTAAGTGACGAATAATTAAACGCCCTATTCAGAATAAATTACTGCCACATTTGAAACTTCTACTGCTAATGGACTACGTATTAACCAGATTAAACTAATTTATAGGTATTTTTAGTAATGTCGCCAAAAATGAGCTACAGATTAAGGTACGGTAAGAAGACAATTTTAGAGCAAATTTTATAAAAAAATTTGTTTTTAAATTAATCTTGAAGACTTCAAAATCTTCATTCCATAAATAAAAACACGTTCGGCTGCTCTAACTTGAAAATTGTGTTTCCAGTGGAAAAATATCGAACAAAGAACATCAGCACCAGAGTAATAAAAGAATAAATTAAACTACAAAAACTATATATAGGAAAAATTTACTTTACTTTACATAATTTGATTAATAGTTTAACATGTTAGGTTTTTCAATTGATCTTTTACAAGTGAAATCACCATTTTTTATCACAGAAAAAACATTATTTGCTACTGTATTAAAGTAGGTATTTCATTGAAATGTGTTTTCTGTGATGCTTTTGGTAAAATATATGCCGGCTTTCTGGCGAAAATTCTGCAAATACTGTAGCTTCTGAACATCAGTGACTTCGCGCAGCAATTTAACTTTAAGTACCTAAAGACTTTAATGTTTTATATATTGCATTTTCTTCAGTAATTTCCAATGTACTAATGTGACCTTTGGCGAAAAAATATCATGATTGATAACTTGTTTTAACTTGCAATTCAAGACATTCAATCCTAAAATGAACGCCAAACTATGTTGGGCCCTTTTAGAACTCAAAGACTCGAATCTACTTTTAATCAATTTGAGTTTATGATATTTTCAGTCTTAAAGGCTATTACCTCTTAAAAAAACGAGTTAGTCAGAATTTATTTGCGCAAAACACAAGTATCATTAATTTAACATTAGAAATAGTGTAAAAAGGACTAATTTCATGATGCTTGGCAAACGTATCTAAAATCTATCGGTGTATTTTAAATAATGTGGATAACACAACACAATTCAAAGTACAGCGTAATTTCTATTGCACAGATTAAACGCGTGGAAAGCTCATTTTTAATGCAAACGCTTTGCGGTTTGGTCAGCGCTTTGCCTCCCAAGCGGCCCTCAACATGTTTAAAACAGCTAAAATCGTACCGAATGGAAAATAGCAGACTAATCAAAAATTGATTTTTTTCTACAGCAAACGTACACTTAAGAGAATATAAGATTCTACCGCATTTTGCCACTTACAAGACCTCTTAAAATGTAGTTAGTCATAAACATTATAAAAACTAGCTTTTTGTAGACACACTACCGAGTTGAAGAATATTTTAGTGGCAACTGCTTGTACTTGTCTAGAACTTTTTATGTTGGAAACGGTGAAAAAAGTGAAAAAAGGCCAATTCACTTTCATTATTTTGATAGAGATGTTTAAAACTAGTTTACGTATAAAAAATCTGCTAAATTGCCGTTTTCAAACGGCAAAAATTTTTCTATAAGTTCGAGTTGCTCGAATGTCGCAGGTCGAAATCGAATTTTTCCGTATCAGCTCAAGGATACGAATATTCACAGGTACACTGGGGTGCAAAAATTGACAATTTGTATTTTAAGAAGCCCTCAAAGTCGAAACTCGAGGAAAAGTTTAGAGTAGCTAGCCAGTATTGAACTAATATAAATTGCTATTTCACTCTCTGAAAGGGCTCGAAAATTTTCTATACTTAAGATTTCTAAACCTAAGCTGATGAGTAGTGCATTTTTTAATTACGCAAATTATTTTTTACAAAAACATGCATTTGATGAAAGCATAGTTTAGATTTGTGCTGTAGTTTGCCCCAAAGGATTCGAAACCTTTCTATACCATGGAAAGGATTCAAAATAACTCACAAGTTGTGAAAATCATTTTAGTTGAGAGCACTACAAACTTTTTAAAAGATAAAAATTTGAAAATAACTGAAAACGTTCGGATTTTCAAAACTGGTATGTCGGAAACAAATTGAAATTGTGTATGAAATATCGATAATTTGAATTCTTTTGTTAGAGCCGTTGCAGGGCATTTCTAGTATTTATTGAATTTATTTGTAAAATATGATTCTTACACGAATAAATCGTGCTGCACTACCACAAAAGGTCTATTAATTAAAACCATAACAATAACGGTTACATCAATTATTTTGCGAAACTCTGGAACATTGGCATTGTTCAAATCAAACGCCATTCATTCGATCAATATTTTAGAGAAGCAAAAATGCCATTTTTTGTGATTGTAGCATTGGTCAATTAAACTAGCCTTAATGCAAACCGAATGTAAATGTAGACATTCTGCTTCTAGAAAATATCTATAGAATGTCTTTGAGATTTGCTATATTTCCGTTGAGGAGGATATTTTATTCATAAGCTTTGAATAGAAATTGCAAATTTGGAAGTAATGTAATTTTCCAAACGGAATTATAAAGAATACGGATTGGTAAAAAATTGGTCATAAAACAAAATCCAGCTTGAACCTTAACAAATTAAATCATGTAAACTGTTTTACAAAACGTTTAGCGTCGCACTGAAATTCCAAAAAAAAGACGTGCCTGGCTTGCCAACTAATTAATCATATAACAACTATTATACATTGTAGAGCGGATTTGATTGTGCACAACAAAGATATTAGGCAATCGACTAGCCCAGAAGTCTTTATTTTGTTTTAATGCTATCTAATCTAGGATGTCAACTTTTGCAATATCCGCGAACAAATTGGATCTGTGTAATAATGAATGTGGTTATTTACTACCTGAAATGCTATAGAATAATTGAAACGCTTAGTTAAAATCATTAGGAAATAAGCAGCAAAGTTATACTGTTTGGATAACAATTACCTGTTTTATTTCAGTGTTGTTCGTTGTAAGTTTCTGCATGTGCCATGCGGACAGAGACGACAAAAAATGGGTTTGGGATCAAAATAATCGAAATTCGAATAGCAGAAGTTATCAAAATCCGTAAGAATTAGAACACATTTAAATATACATTAATAACAGGAATATTTCCGAACTTGGTTTAAAGGAATTCTCGTTATAACGTCTTTGAAGAAACTGATGACTATGTACCTGCTGGATCTTCCCAATTCTATCCAAGCACCCAAACGCAGCTTATAAACCAAAGACCTCCACCAGTGTATAGCAATAGACCTCCAGTTTCCGGAGCAGGATTTATTCCAAATGAACGGTGAGTTAATAGTAAATGAGTAAAGGTACAAAATCGACAACATATTATAATAAATTGACTGCGAAAAGTTCAACTTTTCAACAATTTAGTTAGTATTCGGGAAAAGCGATTTCGTTGCGATCTTAACTAGAAGGTTTGTATCGAATCGTTCCATACAGAACCATTTTATTTCTCTGAAATTCTGATAATGGAACATTTTAATGCTTCGATTTAATATGATCCATATTCAAAAAAAAGAGAAATTTTCATTTTCGTTCCCCTTCTTCTAAGATAATGAGGTAGTAAACAAAACCGCAGCAAATGCTCTAGTATTTTTAATTATTTAACTTTTTAGTATTTATACTACACATGTTGGTCATTTTATTCATGTTTTCAAAAACTCAACAGTTAAAATTAGATATAAAGCGACAAACACAAGAAGAAGAAACATTTCTGGAAGTAAATAGTAAATTATTTTAGGCCTGGGGGAGTGTATGCTGGAGGAATAAATCGACCAAATTATGGTGGTCAAGCTCAATATCACCCAGAGGAAGCAAATCCTGGAGTGTTGACTGGGCCGGTTCCGTCTTGGGTTAAACAAGGTCCCATCAAAAACTTCGACAAATGCAAGTGTTCAGAAAAATTCAACTGTAATTCTCCTGGAATCTCCTATGTGCGTATGCTCACACTACAAGTTCAGACCTGAGTTCTATTTCGGTTCAATAATTTTTAGGGTCACTGTGATGTTGGCAAACAATACTGCTGCTATTCAACTACTAAAGATCTTGGTGGTCCGATTCCAAGCAAGCCAGTACATTCGATAGAAAATGGAATTTTGGTCGGTCCTGGAGGTCCAGTTGACCCAATTCCTGGAGTTAACAATCACCAAAGGCCACCAAAACAATTGGGTTCTGGATTTTACAGACCTGCGGGATATCAAGGATCCCAAGGAAGTTTAGGAGGATTTTATGGAGGCAATCAAGGCGGTTATAGAGGTTAGTTTTACTTCATTCTTTGAATGTATGGCTTTTTTTGGAAAGTTATTGTTATTACATAAGCAAACCGATTTTTATCTGCACAGCGAGTAAGTGTTCGAGGGCGTGTCGTCCTCAATTGCTTCATATTATAAGGAATATACTCCTGTTTCAAAGGTTTTATTTCAACCAAGAAATTTCGGAAAGGTTCCCAATGACACATTTTTTCTGATCTCACCCAGTTCATGTGTTAACTTATATAAAAGTAAAGCTCTAACAACAGAATTTATTTTGCGCAGTATTCTGGCATATGTGTGTTTTCACTTGCAGCACAAGTAGTTTATTTAAGTTTTGTGTCTGAGTCTTACACATTTTTTATTAGGAATTTTGCTGTGCTTGAAATTTTCTTTGAAAAAAGTATGTCAGTTCTTATGTTAATAACTGTTGGTTAAGTATATTTGTGCAATTAATTGATTTTATCTTAATTAAGTTTTGGTCATTATCATCGTTATATTTAAGATAAATTTTAACAAGTTAAAAAACCCACAATTTGTTTAACGCCTTAATGCTAGTTTGATTGGTGGGAACGATTTTACTTCAATAATGTCTCAATTGGGGTTTAAATTCAAAATACAGTTTGTAATTTTTCCCATTAATAGTTGAAGGGAATCCTTTGTTGTCGCTCAAGTGGGTTAATGATTGTTGCATGTGCTCTATTATTTAAATTCTCAACATTAATATAGCACTAACCGAATTATATTTCAACACATTATATTTCACCCCAGGGAATATTTGCGCTTTGTCAGGAAATACGATTTTCAGAAAGCTGACTTGAAAAGGTTAAATTATCATAATGGTCGCTCACTTTAAGTGGATACCTTTACTAAAATAAAATGGAGCCCCGGCATTTGTGGTCATATATTTAAGTCTTTTTCTAATTTAACCGGAAGTTTTCAAACAAGTTCGAATTTCAGTTACAGTAAATTAAAATAATAAAGGAAACCCCATGCGCCGCAACTCTCTAAGGAAAGGCCTTATCATTTTTTCATCAACACTTTGCATCATATGCCAATGTTTTGAGGACAGTTTGTGCGTGGTTTATATGATGGAAAATATAAAATATAATTCGATTCTTGTTTACAGTATGAAAAAAATTGTTTATATAATGTGCCTCCGTTCCAACGTCAGTTAGCGGAATAAGAATTTTGAAAAATGTTAAATTGATCTCTTCTAAATGGGGCAACTTAGTCATATTAAGAATTGTGAAGTTTAGAATTTTGACCTACTTTTCGGGGTCGTTTCTGATTTATTGGTAAACCTGAGATTCAGCCGCACAGATAATAATTTTGATCATTAACAGAATACATTTTTTTTGTTTCGAGAGTTTTTAGAAACTTAATTTTTTTTTTTAGTTTTGGGTCGGGAGTTATTACAGTCTGTAAATATTTATATCGTTTGCAGAGGACGCCTTTGTTAATCTGAAATTTACTTAGTTCTTCACGTTTGCCATTTTTGCATACTGTCCCCAGTTTTTTTGCTTTCTTATCTGAAAACACTTTACCTACGCCAACTATGTTTTGTACTTGTCAAATTAAAGCACTGTTATTCAATTTCCT